CAAAGATGAACCGGAAGGACGAATGCCTCACTATCACGCGTGACCTGGCGCCCTATTTCAAAACAAAAAAAAAAAAAAAAAGCGTGTCTTGCTCGCGTAAACTACGTGTCGGCCAGTCCCGCACATAACATCACGGTGAGTGACCTTTCTGTTCAATATGGCGTCTATTTGGAAGTTTGATCTTCATTAATACTTTAACCTTCTTTTCCACCGAATAATAAAAAGTATTCTAACATAAAGTACGTCCAGGCTCTGAGGAAGGCAAAGTCGCCGAAACGTCAGCCATCGTTCAATAACATCAAAAACAACGACAACGACAACGACAACGAAGATCTGTACCAACCTCGCGTCAGCTTAAGAAGATCAGTTTATAAGATCACATAAATAAATATATCAACTATCTATGCCGAGGTTCATAGAAAGTCGGTCTTTCGAGTTATTAAAACTTGCTTGTATCTTATCGTTTTATCGCGTTCGTCTAAGGATTGCAATAGAGCGTAGATGAAGAAGCTATATTTTCATGGTAGAATGAGTTATGCACTCAGCAACCGTTTTAATGCCTGGGCGAATAGGATGGCCTTTAGCTCTACGCCACCGAAATCTTTCTCGTAATCATGGGACGACAGGTAACCAGCATTCTCGGTATGTGATCCATTTCATTTATTCACATAACAACTTGATAAGAACGAGAGAAAATAGGATCCATTTGTCAGGAAAAAGGACACGATGGTAAAAGAGATGCCGCGATATTCGTTTGCATCTGATTAATGCTCGGAAATCGACTAGTCACGTAGCATTTCTCATCATTGGTAACAGTGATGTTTGTTCGCACTTCAACGGCTGCTTCCCGATACAGTGCCAGAAAATTTCAGTCCCCACAATTTTCAAGACCTTAGGCTCTTTCGTATTATTAGCACTTTCTATTATTCTCACTTATAAGCCCACTGAATGATGATGGCGTTGTTTCAATTTAGATTTGCCCAAAATTCCCCATAAAAATCATATTACTCGATCAGGTTTAAAAAAAAGTAGAAAGTGATAAACAATGCCCATCAATACTAAATATAAGAACTATAAATCAGCGCAAGACAAAAAATTCTACCTTTTTGACTTTCTGGTTTAAAATCTAAAAGGTAGCAATTCTTTCGCCAAGTGATTCCATTCTTAAAGACTAAATCCTCAATCCTTCAACATGCCCATCGAATCTACGAGGGAATGGCATTGGACTAAACTGTTATTTATTGCAAACCTCTGAACTGAATGCCAATATACTTTGCATAAATAACTTCCAATCAGGCGCGGAAACAACGCTGTTCAGGTAGTAATGGTTCTGAAGGGTATGATTGATACAATTTCCGCTTACCTATATTCTACAAAGTACGATGTCCAACTCGGATGACTTCTGTGACGAATATAAGACCGGAGAACAGAAGACGCCAAAGGTCTCCTCACATATGATGGCATCCAGTATTGACTCAGCCGTAGAAATAGCCGAAATAACAGGGAGGCCATTGCATATCCTTGCAACAGAGCTATAGAAAAGTGGGCACGATCATCTGATGCTTTCCAAGCACAATAATATACGACCACTAACTATTTCCAGAAAGTGGAAGAAGGCACGTTGTAAATATTTTATCAACATATAAATATTTAAATATTGTGATTCCATCTAGTGTACAAAGTACGAATATCATAAATGATAAGGCACTGCAAATCTGCGCCACCAGCTATATGCATACGTACTTCAAAGAGTAATTTGCGTTATATTTCATGTTATATACGATCTTGGACTAAACAATGACCTTAAAGGGAGAGATATAGACAACGAATTACAGGTTACAAATTCACAGAATCAAGTACCTGAGAAAAAATCAGAAATCAGTAAATGAACTCATAAAAGTCATGAGAGGAATATAACTGAGAAAAAAACACGGTACAAAATAGTATTTAGCCTTAATCATTTTCACCAGAAAGTTCACGTTTTTCTCAGGCACCACATGTTTAGAAAATAGGACACTATGATATGGGCGGTCTGACATGGGATAGGAGAACAAATGGAACTGTGAGAGATAACATAAAATGGTCCCAAGTATGTAATAAGCATAAGTGTAGAACAACTGATGTTTCTCTGTGAAAAATGAATCATTATGGTTGAATCACTGTCACAACCAAGGAAATGTATAGAGGCATGGCGAATAGCTACTTATCTAGTCGTAAAGATTAACAAAAATTCGTTCTTAATAAGTGAATATGGATGGACAGAACCATCTCCGCTGACCAATACCCTATCAAATATCAGGAGGCTATCTCTGAATGACGATGCTACTGCTATAACCACTAATTTTTTAATGGTTTACGACGACTACCATCACAGTGCTTTGAGATATTTAAGATTTCGAGTGAAAAGAACAAGAATCCTAAGCAAAAGATGCACACACACACACACAATATGTTGTGATCTCTGTATCACAAATTTCACCACCAAAATAAACTTTAGAATATGTGAAAATTAGACATTTATAAACAACTCATAGTAAGGCCAATTTTCATGTAAAATTGTAACTAGAATTCCTAGGTAAAAGTGGCGGTAAGTATATAAGAATAAGAGGATAACTAAGTAGATAATCAACCTCTCCTTTAACAGAATATCCTCTGAGAAACTTTGGAAAGTTATCACTCAAAAAATAAGTTATTCTATACAATCATCTGTTGGGTACATCATAAAACAAATTCAGAAGAAAAGCGGCAATAAGTTAAGTGAATTTAACTGTACAACGAACACTCTGAAATCCGTGAAATCACCTGGAGTTATCCGTACCCCCATCTGACTCAGTATCAGGATCGAGTGCTGGAACTGTGAACCGTCCAGAAGTGCTTCGATGAAGTGTGTTACGTTGGTTGGCCGGTTTAACTGGGAAGAAAAAGTGTGAGAGAAGTCTCTTCATTAACCCATTTTTAAAACATATGACTAGACTTTTCCGAAAATCCAAAGAAAATCAGACACCCATTTCATGCATTCTAAATAACTCATCATATTATAGGCAGATCTCAGTTATTCATCCGAGTCATTTCTTCGTTAAAATTAACTTTGAAGGACTTCGGACTGGGTTGATGGTTCGCCGGATGGGCCCAAAATATAGCGGCGCAGACTTAACCATTACAATATAAAAAAAAAACAAATGTTCTCTTAAAATAGCCGGCAAGGTACACGAATGAGCAGCGCAGACAAGATAGGGAGAAGAGTCTTTGCATTCTACAACAATCAATCTCCCATTTAATAGTTGCAGCCTATGGCCAGCTATCGTCTGGCTGCCGCATCTAGTTAGCTGTTGATATGATCACCTGTATCATGTGTAGTCTCGTTGATCCTCGAGTCACCCCGAAGGGCACCAGCAAATCTTCCACTTTTTCCTGTCGCGTGCAAGAATAGCCCAGTGGGTTCTGCTCGCTCTAGGGACTCGTGGAGCATCACATCTTTATTCTACGCTCTTTGTGAAGAACTCTGACCATCGGGTCGGTGGCCTTCCTGCAGTACGTTTGACATCCCGAGGAATCCAGTCACTAACGGCTCTTGTCCATCGGTTGTCATTCATACGCATTACGTGTCCGGCCCACCTTATCTCGGACTGTTTGGCGTACAGAACAGCATCTTTGATTCTTGGTTGTTGACGCAGATCAGAGCTTCGGATCCCATTCCTTGCTTGTGTGTAACGGGATACTCCTAGCATCGTCCTTTCGACTGCACGTTCGATAACGCTGAGTGACCTTTCATCCTGCTTACGCAGCGACTAGGTTTCTGACGCATATATTAGGCCAGGAAGTACTGTTGAGTCGAAAAGGTGGGCACGGAGCCGGGTGTTCTTGTTCTCTTCACTACATCCTCGATGCTCTTGAAAGCTCCCCAAGCCGCTCGTTTCCTTTTGCTCAGTTCCGGAGCTAAGTCGTTCATAATGTTGATTTTCCGACCTAGATAGGACGTAACTGGAGCATTCGGAGATATTCATTCCGTTGAGCGTGAATGGAGCATACGAAACCAATCCGCTCCTCATGAACATCGTTCTTGTGAGATATAGTCTAAGACTGATCTTTCCACAAGCTTTAGAAAAGTCGGAAAGCATTCGTTCCGCTTGGCTAATGTTTCATATTACAAGAACGAAATCATCAACAAAGCGAAGATGGTGCAACTACGGACCGTCGATTTTCACTCCCATGTTGCCCCATTCCAATGTTCGCATGACGTTGTCGAGGACGGAGGTGTTGACATGATAGGTCTCAAAAATGAACTATTCGAAGAAAATGAAAAATGTGAGGTTAAATAGGGGACGAAAAACGGAAAGTAGGCTAAACGAATAAGGACATAAAGCTAAAAAGTTTTCGGCGTCAATCAATCCCTGAAGGATGCGCCATCATTCGACTTCATTAAACATCGTTGGAGATGAATGAATGCATATTTGGCCTTTACAATGACTCACGGCGGCTTACCGATGAATCGAGCCAGTGCTGCTATGCTCCTAAACAAGTCTGGTACAAATTAGCCTACCCCGGAGACCTGGAAGGCTTGCTGGGCCTTAGGTCCTGGGATCAATCCCATGTGTACTGCAGAGTGCCTCCAACCACTGCGACAGACGCGCCCTTTGGGAACATGAAGAGATGTATAACGAAAGCAAGGATGAAGAGTAAAGAACGAAAGTGGTAACAAGATAAAGAAGCCAACAATTATTCTCAATGAAATACCAAAGAGTACTGCAATAATATCTGGAAATAGCACACGTTTTTACGCTTTGGTTCATTGTATGCAAAACAATGAACAAAATATGGAACCGCTGCGTAAGCACTTTACTGTTGGAATAAAATAAGAAAAGATTAAACTGCAAGAATCCAACCATTCAATTCAAGAATCAATCAAGCAATCATGCGATCCTAATAAATTTTATTTATGCAGTGGGACGGCAAAAGGATAACTGATATTCTGTCTGGGTCTAAAAGTTCCTATTCCAACTAGAAACATCGCTCTCTCAGAAGTCACGAAAGTTCCGCTGCGAAGAATTAAGTTTCACAACGATGATGAGAGATTTGCAAAACTTCGAACCGCAGGTGTCTGCGGTGGGGATCGAAGCAGTTATGACCCTTTTCGGGGTCTAACGGGTTCAGCATCACACGATGCAGATCCTTCGTTTCGCCTTTTTGAAACCGTGTCTTAGGTTCAAGAAAATCAAAAATTTAAAATGAATTTACAGCTAGAGTAAAAAAGGGCTAAGGACCTATGGTTGAAGCCAAGACAAAAACAAAATCAAAGTTTTAAGAATAAAAAACCCACCGGTTATAATCAGATTATGCGCGTTTGCAACCATCATATCTGTAACCTGATCAAGAGTCTTGCCATGCACGTAAATTCCATTCACTTCAAGGACCTAAAACAGCTTTCCTAAATATTCTTCAATAGCTATCCACTGTAACTAAAGAAAAAAGTAAACAACAAAATTGTCCGATAACAAACTACCAACCTCATCATTAACACCGAGAAGCCCGGTTGACTCAGCTAAACCACCGTCGACTAGGCGAGATATAAAAATGCCTTGTACTTTTGCAACACCGCGTTCCGTTACACGCACCGATGTGCCATCTCTAAATTCACCCACATATTACTGGTTCGTCCCAAGATTAATGGTCTCTTCTTTGTTCATTTTTTCATTCGAGATTTTGGAGTTTTATTTCTAACACATTCGTCAAGACGCTCAATTCACAGATGCGGCCACAAAGATGACGTGCAGTTTTCCAGATTATATGCAATGAATCCAAGAAATATCGGCTAAAATTCCTCTACAACGGAAATGTCGGGTACTGCTATGAAGCAGTTCTCATTAGGTGTAGTCTTCCAACTACTCTAATATTACAGTACTTAAGAAATCATCGCAGTGCTCATGTAGGTTTGTGAATAACGCGTGTGTAACGGGAAACTCTAGTACCTCTCTCATCAGCAAAGGTCTGTGTTGCCTGGTTGTTAAAAAAGGCAATTCTTGTGTCCCCTCCAACGATTTACCGCCTCATCGTGGCTACAAGGTATCCCTAGGTGTCGGACTGCGATGTACAGCAAGAGATTCATCCACTGGTAATGTCTCCCAAGCTGAGAAGGAGTCCGGCGTTTCCATCAGGAAGACTAGCTAAAAGTAAACCAATACCAGGATCCACCACCGTCCTGGCATCAAAGATGCACGGTGGCAAATCTCCCTCTGATCCACAAGGACTGCGATTGCCTGTCGTGGTGACGACGTGGGGCAGACTTTGGCCAGGCTGTCCTCGGGATTCCAGGTAACCACAGTGGCTAAACCAGAAAAATGGAGGTTATATTGGGTCCTGCACAACCAGCGACAACGGGTCATTCAAGTACCAAGTATCAAGTAATTTCTGTGTCAGAAAGTTCAATAAATTGGAAACTTAAACTCAAAAACAATTTTCAATCGCAAAAATACGGTAATAATGCGCTGATAAGGGCACCTTATGTAAAATCCAAGCGGTCTATCTGATCCGTGCTTACATAGACGAACCCGACGATGAGCTTCCGGTACAATGTCGACATCGATAATAGAAGAAACCTGGGTAGAAGAAAAACATGAAAAAACAGGAACAAGCTACCTGAATTTGCGAAGATGGGAAAAGGAAATGAAAAACAAACAATCAATAACCGTCAAGCTTTAGGAATAACATCAGATTTGTGAACGGGAAGCTAATACACTTATAAGAAATCACTACCTGACGAAAATCTTCCGGGTTTGATATTGAATAATTCCTTTTGGGAATCTTTTGAACTGGTATCAATGCGGATAAACCTTTCCTTCTTCTGAATTGCAAACAGTATAGGATGAAATTTAAGGGTAGTCAAAAACGAATATTAAGGAACTTGTAAGAGTGCAACTACTACTACTAGTTGTTCGAACAAAAAGATCATCAGACAACTACCTATCATTTTTGAACATTATCACGCGATTTTTTCGATTTTTTTTTGCTCCACGTGCTGGAGCAAGCAACCTCAGGAATTTAAGAAATTTTATAAGAAGTTTGCCTTCCAATTCTTTCCTGAACATCTAAAAATTGACAAATCATGTTCGTCTTCACTCAAATTGTTGGTTAAGCAAAATTTACCACGCGGAAACTTTCCCACTTGGTCACCACTTGCAGCCTGCGGCTATTTTGTTGCTAAGAGAGCAGCGATTCTTGGATCCGGATTATTCGTTTGTTACTGATACAGTTTCCCGATATAAGCATCGAACCTTTCACGAAAGACGTGCCTGCTTGAAATAAACCCCCTAATAAACATCATCCACAATCACGATGTGATGTAATGGGAGGTTTCTGTTAATCACTCTGCTCCTGTCCCTAAGTCGATGTAAAAAAAACTGCTTGGTGGGCTCCGTCTATGCAAGGAGCACGAAGACCTTTACGCTTCCAGTAGGAAGTCCTTATTTCAATTATTGTTGTCAATGTTGCCAGTATTAAGCTAACGGACTCCGATAATCTGTCTCTGACTGATAGTGTGAAATGTGATGTTCGACATCATGGTTCAACTTCCAGGAATACTCAGCATAATTGCTGATTTGACCAATGAGCAAGTGAAAACAAAAAACATAATTTAATTATGGTAGGAAGTCCAAATTTCTGACTCATTTATCTTACACAACTCGTCATCACAATCACATCTACTGTGCGGACTCCGGCAGTTCTTGCATTCGATTCCTTTTCTTTGCATTCAACGTCACAAAGTTCTTCGAACATTTCCACGTTGCTTCAGCTGCTGCTTGCGAGTTGAGTCTTCTTCATAAATATCATACAATGCCCTTCGAGACGGATCTCCTTGCAACCTTGGAAATAGCCGCGCTAAGACGTTGCCACATAGTCTGGAGGAGGGTCGCAACAAAACCTTGCTTCCTTATAGACTTCATCTCTGATCTTGGCGCTATCACCCCCGAACAGATTAATTACAAGATATACAAATATGTACAATATAAATACAAATATATACGTGTAATATCAAATCTCAGCTTCAGATAATATTGTCAGCTAAGAATTTCGCCGTTAATTCATCCAGCTATAATGTGTAGCAGCCCAGTAGCATATCTGTATTTCATCCAAAAACCGAAATCATCCACGTCATAGACATTGGTAACGCTAGTGAAGTGTGGCATTTAGTTGGTGATAAGGCAGTGAGTTCGTTGTGCTAAGGACTACTCTATACAGAAAACAATAACTGCTTACCTATCACTATCGGTGCCATAGCCATATTTTTCTTCCCACGACTCGCCTTTTCGTTGAATAAGTAGGCGAAGTGTAGGTCGAGCTGATTCAAAAGATTTACGTAGATTCTGTAACTGGATGATTGTGTACCACACTACCCAGAATGAAAACTTTAATTAAAAACTTATGGCGAACAGTTTTGGGTGCATCCAAAATTTCCGTCACTTAGTTTTGAAAGCAATTTTCAACCCGCCCTAATTGGTTGAGGTGGACGACCCCCCCTTAACTGACTGAACGATTCTTTATTGAGCTGATATATTTCTAGCTACTCTAAATTAAGGAATTTGATTTCATCCATCTTAGTACTTTCCTATAGTATCACGAATCTAAATAGATTTGTTGCTTCCTTCTATCTGACACGCTGAATGAGCCAATAACCTTATAGTTTCTAACTACTATTGGATTCTGACAAAGCGAAATATGCAGAATCGTAAGTCACTGTGGAACTAGTATTAAACTAAGGAAAACTCTTGTCAACTCATTAGGAACACAGTAGCTTACTAATCCACGCTCACTTTAATAGAAAGCAGTCTTAAACTTCTAACCTACCACTGAATTAAATTCTAACAGCATTAAGTGATGAAGAGGGAAAAATATTTGCATGGTATTATAAAGACCGAAGAAATAAGCGCAAGACTACCTCGTCGTTTGTGATTGGAAGCAGATCTCCGCTAGCAGAATTATAACACAATGTGAAAGGCACGTTCTCTAGATGATGCAATTTCTCAACGAGGCAACGAAAATTCTCATACGAATGCACTTCTGTACTATTGGCTGTTAGCGAAAACCTCCTCCATTCCGAATCAAATTTTGACTTCACCTGCAAAATATTCTTAAATGAGCGATAATTCAGCAATTTAACAGTTCCGAAACCGAAAAAAAAGTGCTGAAAAGTAAACAAGATCTAGTTGCTGATAGTGTTTAAAAAAAATTCGAGTGAAAATGTTACTTGTAATAATGGAGGCATCGAGGATATGTGTGACTGATGGATATGAATGGGTGCCATTTGTGTTCGTCCATTCTAAACGAAAATATCAGTAAGCAAATGCTACTACAACCATGCTTGTTTTACCAAACAGAGAAAATGCTAAGCTAAGATTTCAATCACATTAAACACAGAATAGCTTCTTCGCACATTCACCGCTTTCTGTGAATCTTCCACTGAACTCTGTTTGGTAGGTCTCAACATAACATGCTCAGTGGAAACTTCATAGAAAGCGGTGAGTGTGCAAAGCTGCGTTCAATGTGATTGAAATCTTGGTTTAGAGTTTTCTCTGTTTGGTTATGGAAGTGTTTGGCTGAGTAGATTGCGGTCAACCTAACTTTCCAGGCTCTCAGGAAGGCGAAATCCGCTGAAACATCAGTTTATGCTTGAATGTGGGATAAAATAACACCTCGTGTTTGCTCAAAAATCATATGCAGAAGAAAATATCGCACTCAATGGTGTTCCCAAAAGGTACTTCATGAAGAAAAGTCCTAAAATATCCCAAAAACTACGGGAAAGTCATGACGGATGAGTACTAAAAATATGCTTGAAACAAAATAGAACTGAAAACCTCTAACTTCAAACTAAACACTCCTCGAAACTATATCGAAAGAGATTTTACCTTGCCAAATAGTGAGAGGAACCTTTAACGCGTTGTAAATACTTACTGAATGTCGACTGTTTCCTGAACCACGGCTGGAGGACGCTCTGCCGTCAGAGTATGACATTCTATATCATTGTTAATTTAAAATGTTAGTTAAACGAAAGAAGATAGTTGAACAGAATACAAAGGTTAACAACATCAGCAACATTATTCCATTAAAAAGCGCGATATTCCTCACGAGACCGACTGCAAAGTGAATTGAAACAGAGAAAGAAATAGATTTATCATATAATCCTAAGCAATTTCAACAACAAGATACCCGATAAAATTGTACTCCATAATGAAAACAACTATCGCATTGAAACAAAAAACCATACACAGATCAGCTGAGTGGGTTAATCCTCATCGATCTCAAGATCCAAACCGTCGATTTCCTTCAAATACTTTTTGAAAACTTAAGTATATGCGGTACTGTAAAAAGCTAGTGCATAACTGAAGGACTTTTGAGAACTATCTTGGGCAAAAAAGTATTTCAGTATACACTAGAAAATAAAGAATGAGAATCGTTATTATGCGACAACAAATCTCGTAGGCAACAATTCTAGTAAGTTTCAAAGTAATTAACGGTATTGGTGACCCTATAACACTTACTTCTAGGAACAACGATTCGTCTATCTCCACGCCCTGCTCGATTAGTGCAACATCGGATAGATTCAGTGTCGCATCCCTCAGGAATAGTTGCCTACCCGTTAATTTACCCGCCAACGACGCTTCACGTTCCTGGAATTAGTTACCTTTCCTCTAATACACTAAGTGAGTAAAAATTAGTCTTGTGACTGCTAAGGGACTGTTCTGGGAATAAGTGATGGCTTCTTAAATCATAATCTTGACCTTTCTATTTACTGACTATTCTTTTTAACGGCAGAGTATTTTGTGAAATATAACTACTATAATGCTGAGATATTTGCAAAACTCCGTTGGGCAACGAACGCACTAACTGGGTTCAATGACGATTTGGGTTTCCCAGATCAATCCAGTTGACGGGTGATCGCTGATGGCAGAAGATCGATAGAACTAGTGGAGAGACAGGTGAAACGAAGGACCCGCATGGTGTGGTGGTGAACGCGTTACCCCCAGGAAAGAACAATAGCGCGTTCCTTCCCCACAGCAGACACCTGCGGTCCGGAGTTTTGCAAATATCTCAGCATTATAGTAGTTATACTTCTTAGATCGTTTACCAGGTTACTATGAAAATAGCAAGCATTAAAAACAAAAAGAAATGGAAAAGTTAAAATAAAATAACATGGTTAAAAAACAAAAATACTGCTCTGATAGTATTACTCCACGGTCTTACACGCTTAATTCCAAAAACAAATAATTGCTTATGAACAACAGAAACGACCACGTAGGATGAATCATACGAATACAATGGGTGGGTGGGGTGGAAAAACACGATAAAGCACTTTGGAAAGAATAAAATTCTAAGGCTTATAGACTCATACGTCTTTTTGTATAAAACTCCACTCGGTAACTCACTAAGAAGGAACATCTTCAAAACATCTTTAGATTAATTACTCGTTCTAACTTATCTATCAATATTGTAAATGACAGCCATAAATAAGAATGCTTAGGTCCTTCTTCCGGAAAGCAGACAAGGTGCTGACCGATGACTGTAGGAGAGCGATTCGGGTATCTCGTAGAAAATAAAAAAGACATAGAAATAAAAAACTAGCTGAGAGAAAGGAGAAACGAAAGACGCGCATGGCGTGGTGGTGAACACGCTAACCCCGGAAAGAGTAATAGAGTGTTCGATCCTTATCGCAGACACCTGCCGTCCGGAGCTTTGCAAATATCTCAGCATCACTGTGGTTGATTTCGCATAAAACCCTGCCGTGAAAATTGTGGTAGGCAATAAATAAAAAAGTTGACTTTGTAAAAGAGACAATTTTTAAACAGTGATCACTTAATTGATAATCATACTATAAGACCATGCAAGCAAAAATCGAAAACCCATGATGGTAGCGAAACACGAACGGCGTACATTTAATACCTGCATTATACGGAATGGTCAGGAATAATAATGATGGCAACGCATCTATAATACAAATTCTGAATGAAGAACGACAAAAAAATCGATGTGTATAAAACCAACAGACCGTGTGATACTCAATAAGAAAATAGCGGAAATAAAGGTAACAACAACGAATTGATAACGACAGGGGTGTAAAATAAACGATGAATCATCATCGGGACAAAACTGCATTCCTTTCAAAAATTTTCACAATAACAGCAACACTCGGGCGGATGTAGCGCAGTAGTTATAGGTGCCTTGAAACATATGTTGTCATTGGTTTTCTATCGCCGCTGAGCTCACCAAGCCTTCTATACCTCCCGAGTCCGAAAACTAGTACCAGGATTGTTTGGGGGCATAAAATCACTGACAATACATCAGCAGACCGTCGTAGTCATTGTACAAGTCACATATGAATTCCATCACCTCTAATGGTGCCTAACGCACAACGCGGTGTGTGGATACGTCCACACGCAATAGGACTTGTGGATGACTTGGACACTACAATGTTTATTTTCAGTCTAGTGTATAATCATTCGACTGCTAATTAAAAGCAGATCCAAACAGGAGGACAAAGACCGGAAAAACCATTCTCTATACCTAATGATTTACAAAAGCCCTGTTTTTGGAAAAGTTCATTTACCTGTAATTTGAGCAAATAAACTGTTATTTCACGACAGACTTTCTGTTTACCGCGGGCGTGATCAAATAATTCTTTACATTTTTGTTGAGCAAACACGAGATGTTATGCCATTCATTATTAAGGCGAAGCTGGCGTTTCGGAGGATTTCGTAATAGAGAACAACATAACACCTGGTATTTGCTCAACAAGAATATAAAGGACTCTTATTTCGTTTTAATCATTAAGATTATTGTTAGAATGTGTAGATATAGAGACACCGAAATAGACTCAGATTAGGTTGCAAAAGAATTCCAAATGCTGACATCAATGTAAATGCATGATAGTAACACACAGTAGACAGTAGCACATAATGTCATTTATAACCACAGAACGATACAGTGAAGTCCTTTCTGATATTCTGCCATGCTCACAATCCGTAAAGCACTCTAGTAATCTAAAAAATATTTCCTTCTATCAAAAAATCAGAAAGTCCGCAGTTGACGAGAATTGATCGTATTATAATCGGAGAGACGCTAAACGGCGCGCGTCCGTTATGGATTAATAAAGTCGAAAGAATGCCGTATCCCTCAGGGATTGATAAACGCAGAACGCTTTAACCCTTATCCATTTAATACAGCTTTGATCAGCATTTCATTGACTTGTTTTGTTTCTCATGCGCGAAAATTCGCGAGTTTCATGACAGACAAAACAGTAGGCAGACTATTCTGGTGCCCCAAGGAGGGAATTGCTGAATGCTGGAACATATCGTCCTCTTTTAACAAACTTATTATAACGCTTGTTACCTTTACATTATAATAACTTACTTAGACACTTGGGTATCCCGATTTCACTGGTAAAGAGGGTTTGAGCACAACTTCCATTCACTTCTTTCTGATGCAATCGTCCTCCATGGTGATGTCTACGATGCCCATTCCGAATTCCTAAAAGCGTTTCCAACCGCAAACACAGATGGTTAATGTGAACGGCGAACACTTCCGGTCATCGTTTGAGCGGTCTTCTAGGAGGGCACTTGCATTCTCTTGGAGTCCACTCCACTATTCTTTTCGTTCGACTATCACTTTTTTTATTATGTGAATGGCTCATCTGTGTTTCGCTATCAAAGTGTTTCCTCCCGGATCCCGAAGATGCGATAAGTTCCGAAGACCCGTGTTGCACGTTTAGACGGGCTAGACGTTGTGACTCTCTTTTAAATTTCAAAAGACATTATTTAAGTACTCTGTGGGTGGTTCGCAAATTTCTTGACAAAGTTGAAGCAACAGCCAACGTCTCTGGTGTACTGGTGCATAACAGAGCTCTGTGAGGACTGTTGAGTCGAAAATGTAAGCGTGCAGTTTTGGGTTCATTGGTCCGCTGGTAGTTTCTTTGAGGGGCCGGAATGCGGCCCGTCCTGCTCTCCTTCTTCTGTCTAATTCCTCGTTTATGTTGATTTCCATGTTCTTTGAACTTCTAAGATATACAAACGACGTGGTCTCTGTAATAAGAGAACCATCCAGTTTGACATGTATGTCTTCGCACATTATGCTCTTCAAGAACTGAATCCTCGTCCTATTTATGCGTAGTCCAATGTTGTTTTCCCTTTTCGTTGAGTTCACTGAGCATTGTCTTTGCTTCAATGGTACTCCGCCAAAAGATGACGATGTCATCCGCGGAACGAAATTCGTACAAGAATTTTCCATCAATACGTCTGCTGTCCTCTTCCCAAACGAGTCACCTCGCTAGTGATAATGTCGACTTTTTGAATCGCTTCTTTTATGGTTGTGGTGAGTGGTCGATGAAAAAGCTGTATATTTGTGCTGCAACTCTGATAACAATCTGCTAGCGTTAACATATAGGACGGTTCCACTACTTCGCCGATGGGCGCTGATAAAAATGCATTCGTTTCAACGCTATTGAACGCTTTTCCACAATAGATAAAAGATAGGACTAGGGTTAGGTGGTATTCCCGACAATCTTCTATGGGCAGTAGCATGGTTTAGATCTGGTCCATGCAAAAAAATTCCTGTCGAGATTCTGTTTGTTCAACTAATTGTGCCTAATATCTTGATACGCGCCATAGGATACTATTCGTGAAAGAAGTTGTAGAGTACGCTCAACAAGCGTATCAAACAATAATTATTAAAATCGCTTCGGCCGCCTTTCTTGGGCAGAATGATGGTTCACGACGTCCTCCACTGGTCTGGGATTTTCCTACTCAGACGGTAAGATATTATGTGAGTTGCAAGAAGTACATGCAATTTGTGGCCTTCAGTTCTAAGGAAATTGGCGGTAATATTATCGTGTCCTGAAGCTGTGCTTTCCTTCAACCTTTCTATCACAACTATAATTTCGGAGGGTAGAATCTTGGGTAGTTTTTCACTAGAGGGATTTCGGCGTCCAAGACAGTGGTTATATAGCCGAAAAGATTGGTTTGGAACTTTTCCGTTATCGATTCCATATCATGGCGAGATGTAGTGATAATCTCATCTTCGTTCATCAGGGCAGATAGCGGAACGTTATAGTCTCAAAGATCCCGATGGCAATTCTTTAGACTAGATCGTTTTTGAACTGCTTCCAATAATTTTCTCTGCCTGTACCGATGCAAATCCTCTTGCAAGGATCTTCTACACCTGGCCTTTATAATCAATCGTATTAGGTGCGTTGAAGCAGAATTAAGCTCTAGCGACCTTCACTTCTCGAGCAACTTTTCGAGTGGATATGCGGTCCGCAGTTCTTGTTTGAACAAGTGAGGTGAGTTTGACACAGTTCACGTCTACAAACGAGGAGCTTGTAGTCTCCGTCGGGTGGTCTTATATCTGATAGTCATATGAGATGATTTTATTAAGAATATCCTCTTAGTACAAAACTTGTTTTGTTTTTCTTAGACAATGACAGTTCTTCTCCACTTTATAGCTGAATCGAATCTCGGCACGGAAAAGACGGTGATCAGATCCATTACAGGAGTCAAGTACCACTGAATTGTCAAATAGGCACCATCTATTAGTGACAGTATGATCGATTTCTGCACAAATCGTGCCGTTAGGAGCCCTCCCATGTCCATCGGCGATTTCCTCCAGTCTCAAAAAATCAAGTTCCATGTAAGAGAGGTGATTCGTACAGAAGTCTTACGATATGGTTTCCATTCTCGTTTCGTTCTCCTATTCCGAATTTCCATATCCAGTATTCTTTTCCGTTGGCCGTTCCTAGTCTGGTGTTGAAGTCTCCAACAACGAATTTATAAGACTTCTCGATGTGTATTGCGGTTGTAAAATGCGCCCAGTTCTCTCTAATCAGCTGTACAAGGCGGTGAGGAATAGTTGATGATGCTGACTTTCTTCTGACGTGCAATTTGAACACGAACAACGGCCAAGCGTAGTGATAGGAAGCACGTGTGCGGTGACTATATGGGAAATTGATGGGTGTACGACAAAGCCGCCCCCGACACGTGAAGGAAAATTCCGTCCACGAACAACAAGTATTACGTCATCGAATTGGCGTATTTCAGTTTTCGTACTTTTCATTTACTGTAGAGTGATCAAATGAAATTTGATGCGACTAGCGACCTCAAGAAAAGCGTCGGCGTCTGGATAGAATGCTCTGGTTTTATAGATGCACAGCAAAAAACAGTCTCTGTGGCGTCTCGTGGGCGTCCTCGTTTTGTCCGTTTCCAATGACGTCCGAGATTTCATCGCCTCCCTCCGGTTGTCGCGCCACCCGACCTGGTACAGGGCAGTCCAGTGTGCGGGGTACTGAGAGCGAAATTCCGCTCGACTAGCCATTGTGGTTCGACTGCCTGGAGTCCTGAGCTTAACCTAGCTGGATTCTTCCGCAGGCCGTCACCGCTCCAGGCAGTCGCCGCCCTTGTAGATCAGACGAGATTTGCCGCCATGAGACAAGTTTGATACCATGATGGTGCTAATTCCTGGTTCTGGTATACTCTCAAATGGAAAGGTCGAAACGTTACTGTCATAACAAAGAATATACGCAAGTACCGTAATATCCTATGTTGCCTTTCAGACGGTATTTTCAGACATTCAACCGCACAAAGAAATCTGATGGTATTCACCAAAAAGAGAAAGCATTAGACCGAATATTTACAAAAAAAAACTAATCAATGATGTTATCTGTACCGAATTGTTTTTAGTTGTCCAACTAGAAGTGTTTTGTATGACAGGCCACAGAACTGCAAATGAGAGCAAAAGGATTCTTAAACAACGTGGAGTATGGATAGTCATGAAACGTGCAAGTCTTTCGAAATAAAGTTTTTATAAAAAATGGAACGTATTGGAAAAGGCTACACGAAAATGTGCTCCTAAAACTTGGTATACCACAATAAAGTCGGTAGCCTGGTCTAGAAAAAAGCACCAACTATTCTACTTTCATATAATGTCGTTTTCAAACAAATTCAAGTCCAGTCCGCATACGATAATGCGCCATATCATCGCGCACGTATGCCTATGCCATGCACAAAGCCATTCTTTGGACAACAAAAGATCTATGGAAAAGAGGAAGTTGATTACGGATCATATTACAATCAGAATAAAAACAATTCACCTTCTCTTTCTTTTCCATCAACGCTTTTCGTTCCTTATCAAATTTCTCTTTCCATATCCGGAACGATTCTGGTGTAACAATAGTGCCTGGAATAAGAAGAGTCATGGCAAAGAAAGCATGAGAATGTTCCTATTCCTTTCATAAAAAAAAATGAAAGAACACTTTCCAGCAAATTTAACCAGTAGTGAAATTACATACGAACAGATTGCAAAGGAAAGTAGTAAGAGAATTTGTTTGCAACATGTCCTACATTTAAAGTTTTCTTCCACTGTTATGAAACACGTAGTCGTAAGGACAACGTTTACAACGCAGGATTGAAAAAAAAGTTCAGTAGTTCCTAAACATCTGTAAGGATGCAGTGAAATATTTGAAGAGCATAGCTAATTCTTGGGAAGTTGAAAAAAAAAACAAAACATGAATTAATAATAGATGTGACATGAGAACCTGAACGATCGCATCAGATAATGTGGGAGACGGGTTCAATTGATCATCCAAGGTCACCAGCGCGCATTTGATGTGGGCTGACTATATATGCAAAAGCGATCAGCTACTATAGGACCCACGGACGTAATATACACGTGAGGAACTGGAGAACACTTAGAGAAAAAAGGGTAAATACAATGATATAGAACTATAAGCATTAGGACAAGGCACTGCGCAAGTCTTCGTAACTTTCATAACTCTTAAATGACTTCCTATGACAAATGCAAACACTTGAACGTCTAAAAATGAGTTTTTATGGTGGAGTTTAAAGTACCACTGGATAGAGTTTCTTTTTTACAAAACAGAAAAACATTTCTTGTCGAGTCCAACAACATGAAGTGATCAACGACTGCCCCAAACAATGAATGATTTCTGATGTTCTTGTCGCTTTTAAAAATTTGTCTATGCATTTTCTATGGTTACAAAACGTTCTACTCTTTAAAGTACGACCAGTTCTACTGCAGGCGTGAAAAAAAAGACAAAGTAGGTGTGAATGTATACACAAAATAAAACTAGAGCACAAGTTTTTTAATTACAGTGCTTTACCGTTAATTTCATGATGTGTTCGAGCCTTCCCACGTGGTCAACACTTGCCATCCAATGACCTTTTTGTTGCCAAAATAAGAGTAACTCTTGGCTGATGTTACCGATACAAGTGTCGAACTCTTTAGGAAGGATATCTTTGAATGAGATAAATCACCCAATGAATATCGCATTTCGACCTGCAGTAAAAGCCTCCAGTCACGATGAGGCAGTAATAGAAGGTTACTGCCAAAAGAATAATTCAAACGGACACCTGCAAAATTTGGACTCGTCTTTGACGAGCACCAGATCTGTACAACGAGTTTATTTAGTCAACTACCACGAAAAAGCGTCATTATCATGAAACAGCAGGAGCTCCCTCACTTTCACTGTTATTGTCAAGCGCAGCATAGGTCCATTTATAATGCAGCTTCCAGACGAAAGCACATCCTTCTCAGCTTAGGTGATCCAGCCGATGTATGGAGGAATGAACTTCCCTACATAATGTAGTTCGAAAACTAAGAACGATTTCCACGTCAGCGGTTCTATGATATTTAGCTTGGGACGGAAATTTTACAAATTTGGTTGGTTTTATCATTTAGTACAGAACTTAAACCGCTCAGTTGTTTCGCGATTATGAAATAATAAGAGGAAGTTCTGGAAAATATCTGAGAAAAGGGTGCCTTCATATCAAATAGCACCTATACACCGTCCGCTAGGTGTTCTAAAACGTTTACTAGAGTAAAACGGAATTCTTAATGATGCGTAAACCTCCGATCCACCGTCGAGAGATGATGGAATAAACAAGGTATCAGGCCGTCGTTTACTCATTAATCCTTCCGGAAACCAGTTTCCTGTTAGTTGTTATCGAAAGCCCTAACGCAGAAAATTTCAACTTTTCGTCTTATTATCGAATATCAAATAAATCTCGACATATAGAACCAGCAACGCTATTTTTGCTCAGTAAGGAATAGAAAAGTCAAGCCATGTGTAGAATATAAAAAAGGCATGTGATAAACAAAAGCTTTAATGCAATCTGAGTTCCCTTAATATAAAAGAATCACGAAACAAATACCTTCAAATTTTCTGCGTTCTATAGCTTCGGCCTTTTCTTTCTCTTCCTCAACCTTCAATTCCACTTCCTTCTTTTTCTCCTCTAGTAATATCCCAATTTCATCCTAAAAGTACTAAGCAATATACTTCAACAGTAGGATAAAAGACGATTCACTACTATTACTAAGACATCAAGATTGAAGGGTTAGCTGGTACCAGACTTGTCTGGAAAGATAGCAGCATTGGCTCGATAAATCGGTAGGCTACCGCGACTCATTGCAAAGGCTAGATATGCATTCAATCAGCTCCGATGATGCTTAATGAAATCGAGTGGATGGCGCATGCTTCGGGGATTGATCAACACCGAGAGCTTTATTCTTTTTTCCATTCCCTTAGTTAACACTACTCAACAGATTCCCATCGATACAAGCCACAGTTGCCTGACATTGTCGGAAATAATTTCTCCTACCAGCTTTAAAAAAAATACATCTTAGTTCACATAGCCCTTTACTAAATGGAACAAAGACTGTCAGAATGCTCAAATAGTTGCCAAAAAAAACATAAATTTATTTGTGCCATCAAGCCCATGATTTGATTGCAACATAGTGCTTCCTCGCTAAATCGACTAAACCCACAATTCGCAGCCATCACATTAATCCTCTTCTTTTCGGATGAATTTCATTCGCGAAAGAAAACTGCGATCCGCAAAGGTCGGCGACTTAGTATGTTGAGGACCTGGGAACACTCTATCACAGCTATCGCTGCATTCCAGCGAATACCACTCTTCAGCATAATTTAACATGTCAACGAGAAATAAGTGGATATACTGAAAGCCGCACTACATGTGACGATGGATCACCTAATTATTTAAATCCCACGATGATGGCCTCAGCATGAAAGAGATCGACTAAAATCACGTGATTATGAACGCCGAACCACTGACATTTCTAGTTACCGCTCCAGCGGCATCTCTAGAAAACCCCAAAATTTGGTTTCTTAAAATTGATTTTCTAATAAATTTGAAAAGATGGTGGCACCCCGGCAAGATGAGGTAGGAAGCTATGGAAAGAAATATAAAAGCAGTTCTCCTACACTACAACAGACATCGACGATATAGTGAAGGCAACCTTCTAAACAAATACAGTAGAAGTACGGCATCTCGTATCAAAAACTCGTTGGTCTTTGTGTCGTCTGCGCGGGAGCAGCATTATAATGGTCCGACGGGAATTAATAAGGTCTGCTGGTGCCCCTTTGAGTTATTTATTTGGAGGACTTTAGGTGACAAATAGTAGGTATTTTAGGTAAACGTACTTTCGACTTGATAATTACCTGTAATGCGCTGACGATAGAGAAAACCATCACCATTCCAAGGTTAACGCTTGCTTCATCCTCCAGTTTCTAAATAACTTATCTGCAATAGATATTCATGTCATAGTTACTCGAATACTTGGACGGACCGTCCTCACTGGTTGTGCGGGCACCAGCATAATCTCCATTTTTCGGAGATTTGCTGGTTTGGCCACTATGTTTCCATGGGATCCCGAGGTCAGCCTCCAAAGTCTGCTCCATGTCGTCACCACGACAAGCAGTCGCAGCACTTGTGAATCACAGGGAGATTTGCCACTATGCGACTTTGATACCAGGACGGTGGTGGATCCTTGTATTGGCTCACTCTTAGCTAGACTTCCTGATGAAAACGCTGGACTTCGTCTCAGCTTGGGAGACCCTATCAGGGGATGAATCCCCGGCTGTAGATCACAACTCGAACCCCAGGAACACCTCCCAGCCACGATGAGGTGGTATACTGTTGGGAGGTAGGTGCGATCATGTCATACAGAAAATAACAAAACGTGAAAGATGAACAAAGAGAAGAAACAAGGTGAAATAAAACGGTGGAAACACCTATGAACAGATTACTACTAAAATAACCTTGACAGCTTTCTGTATCCTTCCTGTGCTCAAAACATCATCAACATCTTCCAGTGCAAGCCGTGGTATAGCGTCCGGATAATTAGACGGCAACTCTACCAAAAGGGAGATTTGAAAATCACTGTCTCGTTCTCCATCCTAAACATAGTTTCATGACACAAATTAAGCTTGTAAGAAGAATTCTATCCAGTTGATGTTTTCATGTCATGGACACGTTAACCACCAAAAAAAAAAAATCAGCAGTCAACAGTCATAAAAGCTAATAAAGCTCTCGGCATTGATCAAACCCTGAGGGATGCACCATGCATTCGAGTTCATTAAATATCGTTGGAGGTAATTGAATCCATAACTGGCCTTTACATTGACTCGCGGTGGCCTACCGATGTATCGAGCCAGTGCTGCTATCCTCCCAGACAAGTCTGGTAGCAATTTACCGACCCCGGAGGGATGGAAGGCTTAGTGAGCCATGGGCGAGATCGACTTCGTGTCGCAGTGGCGCCACCAACCATTGCGTCACAAGCGCTGCTGTCAACAGTCTTAGTGACCGAAAATAGAAACGTGTAGATAGAGAACTGCAAAGGAGCGCCCCGATTACCAAGTTCTCTGGATTGCATCTTTGTTATATTACAAGCAACTAATGTAGTCCAAAGGTCACAAAACTGAGAACATGTTCCAGGAAGAAAAGACATGAGAATCCGTTCCTATTTTGTTATATAATCGAAGCATAAAATTGAAGAAAAAAAGAATTTATATGCACACTGGGTCATCGGATAACGTTTATGGTAAAACCGTCTAATCTTCTGTTGTAGTAAGTCATACTTTAACACATTCTGACTGCAGAAAAACCTTTTCGTACTTTTCCCCCACTGTATACATCGACCCTCCCAACGGTTTACTGCCTCATCGTGGTTGGGAGGTGTGGTTGGGTGTCGGGCTGCTATGTACAATGCGGGGATTCACCCTTGCCAGGGTCACCCAAGTTGAGGAGTCTGGCGTTTCCACCACGAAGCCTAGTTAAGAGTAAACCAATACAAATATCTGTCACCGTCCTGGTATTAAACTAGTCGCGTGGTGGCAAATCTCCCTCTGATCCACAGGGCGGCGACTGCCTGTGATGGTGATGACCTAGAGCAGACCTTGGCTAGGTCGAGCTCGGTACTCCAGGGAACCACAGCGGCTAAAGCAGCAAAAGTCCGACAAAATGGTGATTTTGCTGGGGCTCACGCAACCAGTGAGGATGGGCCTTCCACGTTTCCAAATAAGTAGATATAGAAAACAACTGAACTAAATTTGCATACCTTTCCGCACAAAGATTGTTGATTATCAGCTTGTTTTTGATGAGCGCACTGACGTCATATAGTACACACGAAAATTACCTGCCCTGATCTAAGCTTGATCCGAAGTGCAATGTCTGGATACTGAGTACAGATCAATTCCAGCTCGTCTTCTTGATAAATAGCCTGCAATGCTTCAATTTCTTGCAGCTGCTGTGCTTCATAGTCCATCTGAAACTAATGCAAATAAACAACGATGAAGAGATCAATAACATCTAATAGTTGAAAAACATATCCTAGTAAACGAACTACAAGGGCTAGAAATCTGCAAGATATACTGGCATGAATAGGGGACTTTTAAGGACCTCTTAGTGTGAGTCACCTGAGTGATCCACAACCCTAAGCCCATTGAAAAAAACCTGTTAAACTTGAAACTTTGTACAGCAAAAACATTGAAGCACGCTTCGACCGCCCTAGTAACTGATACAGGCCATCCGTAATTACACCATTTTCACCGATACAGTAGCATTGGTGCTTTGCTTCTCACGGGTAATTCAATCGGAAGCAACTTTTCCTAGTGTATTTACTGAAAACCGTAGTTGGTTGCCTATATATCCGTTTTCGCTTAAATTTAGTTAGTTTCGGCGTTAGTAATTTTGGTTTGTTTCGCTAAGAAATCGGCTATCTCGAATTTTTTAAAGAAACTGGGAGAGTGTAGCCTAATGCCCAACAATACACGCCAGCTAAGACTTCATCTCTCCGAGTTCGGAAAGTTGGCAGTCGATTTGTCTTGGAAAAGTTTCCTGCCATTGATAAGCGGCGTCGACTGCGTGTACAAAGGACCTCGGGGCCCTCTACTAACACAATGTCGGGTTTCGAGAGTATAAGGTTGATCCTCCTGAGTATCTCTCTTCAGCGCTCTTAGAATCCTTCGACACCTGTAGAGCTCACTACCGAGAAGATTTCTGCTCCAGTTAGTCGATGATTAACGAATTCCAAACTAGTAGCAATGGATGTTGTACAACAGGCCGTTTCATTCTTTTTTTCATTACCCTTCTTCCGTGTGTCTTCATTGTCTCCCTATGTATTCTTCAGTTATCCTGATCGTCTTGCCTTTATGTTTCGCTTCTCTCTCTCTGCGGGTTTCTTTTGCAGATAACACGCATTCATTGGTTTCTCTACATCCTATCAACTTGTATCTAGTTTTGCTGTTGAATCATTCGGTTTCCTGACTCATCTGGTCCTATATCTCCTCTTCATTTCTTATCTATGTCCAGTTTTTCTTTTGCATGCTCTGCACGCATCTAGACGCAGTGGACGCATTAAGAAAGCGAGGCGGAAAGTTCAGATCTATTGCGTCGTAGTAAACGATGTTTTTCTTTTTCTAGAGCTTCTCTCTCATTTTATTGGGAGAACAGGGCTTCCTTCTAACGTCGTTCTCATTTATGCTTTGCTAATATTGGAATGGGCCAAGGGAAATTCGCGCGCTAGTCGAATGTAGGAAGCAGGACAATTATGTTTACTTCAAGGCTTTGTGCACTTACCGTGTAAAGCTCATTAGTTGTCCTCCAGCTGCTCTCGATGCTACATTCACTGTTCATAGCCACAATATAGAAGGTGCACATAGAGCGCATGCAGCGCAGCTGTTGGAGGTGCACTGCAGTATCTACTGAAAGGAGCCCCCGTTCGAACCTGCGTCCAGGAGTGACCAAGCGTCCATCGCTCCTGGAGTGAGCAAATTGGTATCAGACGTGGGTGGGTGGATAGCACTGATGACTTACATCGGGGCATCGGTACACCGATACAAGTCATTGTATAGATCAGATGTGCAGTCAGTCAGCTCTAACTATGCTTAATGATGTCGAATGCATGGCACGTCCATCAGGGATTGATTAACGTGGAAAGCTTTGTCCATCGTACTTTATCCTTTATATGGAAGGATCATTTTAGAGTGAAAAAATAAAGGATAAAGCTCTCGGCGCTGATCAATCCCCGAGGGATGTACCATGCATTGGACTTCATTAAGCATCCTTGGAGGTGATTGAATGCATATTTGGCCTTTACAATGACTCGCGGTGACCTATCGATATATCGAGCCAGTATTGCCACCCTCCCAAACACGTCTGGCACCAAGTTGCCGACCCCCGAGGGACGGAAGGCTTGGTGAGCCATGGGCGCGGGGACCGATTCCACGTATGTGTTGCAGGGCGCATCCTACCACTGCGCCACACGTGCCCTTCCGTTTGGAGTAACACATGTTATCTAAATCTTGTATGAAGTGACGTCGTCAGCCCTATTCCAGTAGTTTTGTGAAGTGATTCGAAGGATCAAGATATTTAGTACTTCGATGATTTTGCTGTTAGAAAAATGCAAAGATCCCTTTGCCAATTGAGGAAGATGAAAAATCTAAGTCTAATACGCTATAACGAATGAGTCTTGGGCTAATGTAGACAAAATTGTCAGTATATCGGCAGTCTTCTTGCAGGAAAATATTCATGAAATTTCACTGTAAGGCTTATTCGCTCTGAACCTGGAGAAGACTCAACGTTGCGTTCAGCGAAGTAAAGTGTTAAGTATCGGTAATGTATTGCTGACTTAAGATAGAATGCCCTTGAACGGCCGATCTTCACTGGTTGTGCAAGCCCAACACAATCTCCATTTTTTTCAGAGATTTATTGGTTTAGCCATTGTGGTTCCTTGCAGTTCCGACGACAATCTTGGCAAAGTCTGCTCCAGGTCGTCACCTACAGTCGCAGTCTTTGTGGATCAGAGGGAGATTTGCCACCATGCGACTAGTTTCATGCCAGGACAGTGGTAGATCCTGGTATTGGTTTTCTCTTAGCTAGTCTTCTTGATGGAAACGTCGGACTCCTCAGCTTAGGAGACCCTGCCGGTGATGAATCCACCTCTGCACATCACATCCCGACACCCAGAAACGCTTCTCAGCCACTATGTGGCGGTAGACCATTTTGAGGATGTCAGAATATTTGCTTTTTTGAAAGACAGGTTTCCAGAGTGTTTTTATTTACCAACTGTTGAAGATCTCAAAGAGGAAGAAGGTGGAATTTTACTACCAATATTACATAAGTACCTTGAACCGCTCACCGACGTCTGTGATGATTAACCTATTGATTCTGACTCCTAATTTCGCGTTCCTAATTTTATGTCGCTACGGACTTACTAGTTTTTCGACAATAGACGATTTTTTCGATAACTAGAGGACTTCAGGGTTAAGAATGTGGCAGGATTACAGGGGAGACTTTGCTTGATCGCGCTTGAAGTTCATATGATACTTTATGTATTATGGTTCATCGCTCAATCTCGTAGCTTTCAGCATTCTTTTGCAGCTTTTATTGAGTCTATTTACGTATTGTTTTATTCCCACTGATTCTATACGACAACCGTAATTAATCATAGTAGTTGGAATTAAAATAGATACACTGTCGATCAATTTACTGGTCAATGAATTTGTTCGAGGGTTTGTTTTCCACATTTCACCAGACCAACTTTCACCTAACCTCGGCCTGAATAAGCAATACTTAATTGGACACTTAGATGGTCCGTCCTCACTGGTTGCGCAGGCCCGACATGATCACCATTTTTTTTCGGAGATTTGCTGGTTTGGCCATTGTGGTTCCTTGGAATCCCGAGGTCAACCTGGCCAAAGTCCGTCCTAGGTCGTCGCCACCAGAGGCAGTCGCAGCCTTTGTGGGTCAGAGAGAGATTTGCCATCATGTGACTAATTTGATACCGAGACGGTGGTGGATCTTAGTATTAGTTTACTCTTAGCAGGCTTCCTGGTGGAAACGCCGCACTCCTCAGCTTGGCAGACCCTGCCAGTGGAACGGATCCTCCCACTGTGCATCGCAGCCCGACACCCAGAAGCACCTCCCAGCTACGATGAGATGTAAACCGTTGGGAGGGAGAAGCAGTTTAGTTGTTTAAATTGTGAAGATTACAGTAAGTTGTCGTATAACTTTTATTCGACTAGCATTTCGCTGTCTTCGTCTTCTTCAGAACCAATGTTTAGTGGATGGTTTACGATCTCTCATCTTACGCATAATGAAAGTTAGACAGCAACCTCATGTAAGCTGAACAATTTAAACAGGTCCATTTACTTTTCTTTCCAATTTTTGCTGATGCAAAACAGAACTTCTCCAGTTCGACATATGGTATGAATGATTACATAGATTGCAAGTATAATCGCTATGCAGAAAGTAAAACCGGTCACATATGATTCACCTTAGGCAGTTTGCCAGGTAACAAGTGACCCATTTGTGACTCACCTCGTCGCTAATCTACACAGTTGAGATGAATTTCGAAATAGATCGCGTAGAAACAATGCAGTGTGCACGCCGATTATTTGGGAATTTGTGTGATGGTTAGTGGAAACCCTCCATCTTCACTGGAGAGTAACACATCTATAGTCTTTTATCGTTAACAGAACTCTTTAATTCAAATTCATATGCAGCCTATTTAAATCACTGTTCTCTACCGCTTTGCTGTCCTCTATTTCTCCCCTATACTATTTGAAATTGCCAGAAATTGCAAAACCCCACTGTCGAAGATAAGGTCGGCCGGATAAGTTAAAGCGCACGAACGACAACCGATGTGCAAGAGCCGTCATTGACTGGATTCCCGAGATGTCAAACTTGCTGTAGGAAAACCACCAATCCGATGGTCAGAGTTCTTCACGAAAACCCGAGAAGGAAGATGTGATGCTCAAGAAATCCCCAGAGCGAGTAGAAGCCACTGGGCTGCTCTTGCATGCGAGAGGGAGAAATGGAAGTTTTGCTGGCGTCTGCTCGAGTCACCCGACGATCAACGGGGCGACAGGTGATGCTGGCAATACTCGCTAAAATTATTGCAGTAATTAACACTACCGAGTCCTTGGTAATCTCAGCTTTGGTGAGGTTACTGTTTTCATGATGAGCGGGCACGAGATTATTTTTACAGTATTTATTCACGATAGCTAACGTTTCGATGGATTTTGCCTTCTTCAGAGCCTGGAAGGCTCAAATTGGCGTGCAATCTACTACACCAAATACTTGCATAACCTCAGTTTAAGCGAATTTAACGGCATCTCCACCAGTGCTCTACCAACACTTTCTTTGTACAATGAAATTAAGTAGAAGGACAAAGTTCAGGGTGTTGGTCAATCATACGGGCGTACACATTGATGCTTCATTTACAAGTTTATGTATGCTGAAACTAAAATTAAAAATGGACAG